TGGGAGGCTGAGGCAAGAGAATCTCTTAAGCCCAAGAGTTTGAGGTTGCTGTGAGCTGTGATGCCACAGCTCTCTACCGAGGTTGACATAGTAAGACTCTGTCTCAAAAAAAAAGAAGAAATAACTACCAAATCACCGAAAGTGCAGGGAAACATACAAAGAAGTCTTATGTATGCTTCACCCAGGCTCTCCCATTGTTGATATTTTGTATGACTACATTACAATATCTAAAGCAGGAAATTGACTTTGGTATGTATGATACCCAGATTTCACCAGTTAAACATGTATTCACTGAGGTGAGGTTTATTAAGAAAAAATTATGGAAAATGATTGCTCTTTTCAGACCTGATAATCATCCTTTAGGGAACATTATTTCTGGAGTACATGTTTACGGATTGCAGTTTATAATATAGTACTAAAAACTGGAAACTGCTTAATTGTCCAATGTCAAAGGATTGGCTGACTAAATTAGGGCTGAATTTATGAAGAATTGGTCAGAATACTATAAAAGCTAACAGTGTTTACTTTGTGACAGACATTGTGTGATACTTACAAGCATTAGATCATTTAATTATCAGAGTATCATATGAGTAGGTACTATAAATTCAGTCAATCCAAATATTGGGCTGTGTGTCAGGCACTGTTCTAGGTACTGTGTGATACAGCAGTGAATATTATATAGTCACTGCCTCTGTGGATCAAAAAAAAAAAGCAAGCAAAGGTTTGGAGCCTATTGCTCAGAGGCTAGGGTCCCAGCCACATACACCAGAGCTGGTGGGTTCAAACCCAGCCTGGGCTTGTCAGACAACAATGACAATTAAAAAAAGAAAATAGACAGGCGTTGTGGCAGGCGCCTGTAGTCCCAGCTACTTGGCAGGCTGAGGCAAGAGAATCACTTAAGCCCAGGAATCGCCTAAGTCCAAGAGCTGGAGGTTGCTGTGAGCTATGACATCACCGCACGCTACCTAGGGTGACATAATGAGACTCTTATCTCAAAAACAAACAAAAAAAGCAAGCAAAAAGTAGGTGGTAATCTCAGGTAGTGATAAATGCTCTGATGAAAACTGAAGGAAAGGTTTAGTGTGTCACTGGGATTGGAGAGTCATGGGAGACTTCATAGGAAAAGATATTTGAGCCCAACTGTGACTATAACGATAGAATAGTCCATTTGAAGATGGGGAAATGAACTAACCAGGCTGAGGGAGTTCTTGCTGAGGTAGTGCCATGATCCCTACTGTTACGAGTTCAGTGCATAATTTTATTTTATTTTATTTATTTATTTATTTATTTTGAGATAGAGTCTTACTTTGTCACCCTCAGTAGAGTGCTTTGGCCTCACAGCTCACAGCAACCTCCAGCTCTTGGGCTTAGGTGATTCTCTTGCCTGGGTTTGAACCCACCAGCTCTGGTGTATGTGGCTGGGACTACAGGCACCTGCCATAACACTCAGATATTTTTTTGTTGCAGTTTGGTCAGGGCCAGGTTCGAACCCTCCACCCTTGGTATACGGTGCCCTACTCACTGAGCCACAGGCACTGCCCAATAATTTTATGTTTAACAGATGAAAAATTGCATACGAGGTTACATAGCAAGTGATTAGGAGGCTTAGGATCTAATGTCAGAATTTGAGCTCCTTTTTTGTTTTTTTGAGACAGTCTCACTCTGTGCCCAGGGTAGAGTGTAGCATAACAGCTCATAGCAACCTCAAACTCTTAGACTCAAGTGATCCTCTTTCCCCAGCCTCCCAAGTAGCTGGGACTATAGGTACCTGGCTATTTTTAGAGACAGGGTCTCATTCTGGCTCAGGTTGGTCTCAAACTCCTATTCTCAGGCAATCCACCTGCCTTGGCTTCCCAGAGTGCTATGATTACAGGTGTGAACCACCATGTTCAGCCTAGTTTGAGCTCTTACAGGTTATGGTTTTCTCTCTTTTTATATACTTGAGAATTTTTGTTTTTTGAATCCAATGTTTTTTGAATGAGAATCATCATTGTGTTCTCATCCAACATTTTTGGAATGCCCAGAGTGTTAATTTTGCCCTTTATAAATAAAGTCAAGTAATCATAGCTTTAAATTATGTAGAATAAAAAACAGTAGGGAAAATGCAATGTTTGATTTTTGACTATGATTTGTATCCTTAATAGAAATACCATATTCTTGCAGATTCTTAATGCCTTTCAGACTCCTGATGGCACGCCTGTAAAGAACTTGGAGTTGAAGGAACGTAACACAGGTGAGCTTCTTTACATGCAAGTGGCCTTGGGTTAGGAAGGGTCTTTGTCAGATCTCTACATCATTGCATCATGTGCTGCTCAAAATTTTTTTTAAGAAATCACAAATAAGATTTCCAGAAGCTTCCTGTTGGTGCCTTCAATTAGCAACCAGCTTTAGTCTTAGCTGTGGTTCTTTGTGGATGTTTGTCCACACGTGGGCGATGAGGATGCATGTTCCAGTTCTTCTGAGTGCCTATGAGATATAAAGTGAGTGTTGTAGCAATTACCTCTGAATGTATTTTATATAATTATTCTTGCTATTTATGTTCTTCATGGTGGTGGAATGTTTACATTTGAGACTGGTAGGATTTAATAAACTTTCTGTATGTAAAATTTCACATTTCATTGCTTAGAGTGAAATTTATGACTTTCCAGAAAAATTGTAGAAATTAGTGGTTTCTTGAATTTAAAGTCTTATTCTGAGAGTGGAGTTCTGCGACAGCTATTTTGTTGAAATCCATAAATAGATCCAGAAGAGCTTTATCTTTGACATCCGTTCTGTGGTTTAAACTGCAGATTAAACTTTTCAGAGTATCCTCATAGTTGTGTGTCAGAGTGCCAAGTTCAGTCAGTTCATTTAAATTTTACTTTAGAAAAAGTAGTCAGGGCTCGGC